GGCAGGCCTGGCAGAGGAGGCGGAGAGGGAGGAGCACGAGAAAGAGAACAAGGCGGAGGAAGACCCGGAGATCCTAGCGACTCCATTTTTTCGAGCCGGGCGTTCTCGCTCAATTTCGGGCCCCGGGACCCTCACAGATCGATCCAGCTCGAAGAATGACGCGGAAAAATTAGGTCTGGGGGTCCAATCGCGATTTGTTCTGATGGTGCAAGTTTTTCGCACCGTCGGACCTCTCCCTGCACCGACCTTGCAGACGTGCTCCAGCGTGCTTGTGCGTTGATTTCTGTCAACGCAACACCCTGAAACGGCGAGTGAAAAACGAAGTGAATTTGAAGTGGATTTTGTTTAGTCTTCATTCCTGGCCGAAAAGAGCGCGCGAAATACACTTCGAAATTCGGAACGAGATTCTCCAGGACACTCCGGGCCCATCTTATTGTTTTCCGAACGAGATCCGCTCTGCGATGCTGGCGCCATGAGACCTCCAGGGAGGAAGCGGAGGAGGGCCAGGGTTAGGGCGGGCATGTCCTCCTGCAGGCGGCTTTTGAACGAAAAATGAAACATTGCCAAAAAATACTCCACAAGAGAAACGCTGATTTTGGGCGAAAAATGAAAATAGTCAAAAAATACCCCACAAGAGTCAAACATTGTCGAAACATCGTCCCCCGAGTATTTTTTCCTGACTATGTGTGAACACTCCTCCTGTAGAGGGACAGGCCCGACTCAAGGCCAGGGTCGGCGGCCGCCTCCTCCGTCCCATTGGGCTGGTCCAGCAGCAGCGCTGTCCAGAGACCGGCACTGGCCGTCGCTCGGAGATCCATTCCCTGTGCTTCTTTCGGTTCCGTGCGTGGCTTGTTCGCCAAATGATCAAGGATGCTCCTCGACGGTCCTCGCCAAAGGACAAAGATGCACACGTCCGAGCGATGCCAAATTCAGAGGGACGTAGGTACCGCTTCTCCCCCTGCTGCTCCTTCCTCGGTTTAAGTCGGGCGTGTCCCCTACAGGGGGATTTTCGACGAAAAATGAAAAATATTAAAAACATGCTCCAAAATGGTCAAAAGTACTACAGAAAAAGTCCACTGACCGTTTTTTTTATATTATTTTTGAATATTCCTCCTGTAGAAGGACAAGCCCGCCTTAACCCTGCTGCTTCTTCCTTGGTTGACCCAAATCGGCGATGGACAGAACCCCCCTTTAGCAAAACGCGGTTTCGTGAGAACGACCTCGGGCCCAAGCCTGGCGGGCGCAAGCCTGGAAAATGACGGCCGCGGCGCCCTCTCGAGAACCGAAAACGGACAACTCACTAATCGACGTGTCGGGGTAGGGGTTCTGTCCACCCCCGACCATAAGGGGGTCCAGCTGAAACAGGGTGGTGCAATAGATGTGGGGACGTGGTATTGCAAATGTACTGCGCCGGAGAACTGCATTGCATTGAATTGCAACTCGTGTATGGCACGCGAAACTCCAGCAATACAGTTGCGCCCCGGAATACATTGCACGCCCCAAATCTACTGCAGCCCACGCATCTATGGCACCAGATCCATTGCGCCACCCCCGTGCAGCTGCACCCCCGCTTGCGTCAACCAGATGTCTGCTCGCCCGCCTCAGCCCTCTCCATGTTCAGGCGCAGAATCGGGGAGACGTCAGACTCGGGTACGGGGGACTCGGGTTGGCCTGACGTTGCCATCATAAAAATGACGAGGCCCAATCTGAAATTTGACGCGAGCTCCCGCTGCAAACATCCCACGAAAACTGGACCGTCAACATCCAGGGCGCGCTCGTCAAAAAACGTCGGCAAACCCGAGTTCCGGCTTACTCGAGTCTTACGTTTCCCCGACAGAACGAGGAGGACACGGAGGAGGCGGAAGGACCCCCCGAAGGGCGCGCCGCGGTGGAGGGCGGCCGCCTTGATGTTCGCGTCCAACGCCGTCTGCGGCCTGCCCCCGGCCGGCGCCCCCCCCGCTGGCGGGACGCGCAGGGCCGGGGCCGGCCAGGGCCGCGCGACCCCGGGCGGGCCCCGGGCGGTGAAGCCTTGGGGTGCGCGCAGACAGCCCCCCCCCCCCAGGTGCGGGCAATATTTGTATCCACATCCAGTGCGTCTTGGACTTTCTTGGAAGGGGCGCCGCAAGGCCGAGGCGCACTGGATATGGATGAAAATTGAGCCTCTTGGAGGCAGATGATAATCCATATCCAGTGCGCCTCATGTTTCTTGGGAAGAGTGTCCGAAACTCCAAGACGCACTGGATGTGGATACAGACATTGCCCGCACCAGGCAGTCCTTGCCGGCCTCAGCGTAATTACCCCCTGGGTGCAGTCAACGCACGTCGTAAGGATGCGCAGTAAGGATGCACGGACCTTGGAGAGGCATGCCGAGGTTTTTCGAAGTGGGGCTGGCCAGCGAAAGTCGCGAGGGATGGGCCGAAGGGGCATGGATGCAAGGGTGACCTTGGAAAGCCGCTCATCTTTACTATGCGAATTGACTGTGGTCGCGGCTGGACAGCATCGGGGGAGGATCAATCCGACATCTCTGCGATTCGGCGGCTCTGGAGGATGTCTCGGGCGCCGCGGCCTCCTCAGAGGAGCGCTCCAGAACGTTCAGAGGAGCGCTCCGGAACGCTCTGCTGGAACGTATTCATCCTCGTCCTGACCCCACCCGACAACATGCCCCCCGAGCAGTCCCAGCTGGTCCCAACGGGCCCCCGAGCAGTCCACGGCGGCCTTCACAGGCCCCTCGAGCAGCCCGGGGCGCTCTCCACAGGCCCTCACACCTGGACGCTCCCACTTCTTAGATGCGTGGACCCCGCAGGTCTGGACCACTTCCCCATGGGCTGTTTTTTCGCCCCGAGCCACTTTTCCCACGCTCCCGACGCCCGGCGAGGGCCAGAAACGGCCCCCAACCCGCCGCTTGTAACTTTTCTTCGAAGCGTCGGATCTCTGGGTCTGTCCACGGATGCGCAAAAAAGAACCCTTCGGTACGAGCAGAGTTGGTGCGGAAGGACTGGACACGAAGACCGACAGCAGTTCCTGCCCATGTTGCCCAGTTATTGCCCCGGAGGCCGAATATTTAAACGGCCCCGAACCCGCCTGCACGTTGTCCCGAACATGTAATGTCTTCCGCCGCCCAGCGCTGACCTACGCTCAGTGTCTGCGCCCTGGCGCGCTTGCATTCGGGATTCAACTTTTTTGTATGTTTCCCATGGCCTTCGTCTCAGATTGACTCGTTGACTTGTTTTGCCGATGCGCTGTCTAGGCGCGGCTTCTTGCGTGCGTGCGTGCGAACCCGCCTCTTCATATTTTTGTTTCGAAACGTCGGATCTCTGGGGCGGTCTCAGCAGGCCCCCCGAGCAGCGCGGGGCGGTCTCGACGGCTCGGGGGCGGCCAAGAGGGGGGCGTCCAAGAGGGGGGGTGAGCAGCTCATGGCCAGCAGCACGCGCGCGGCCCATGGGGGGGAGGCCGGAGACGTGATGAAATAAAAAGAGGCGCCATGAACTCTGGGGAGATATCATGGCCCCCTCATGAGATCCACCACCCCCTCTACAGGGGAGGCCAGTCCACAAAAAACCTCCCACAAGAAACCCAACCCCGAGATCCCAGGACGTCCACAAATCCTTCGCGTGGGAACGCTATGCTCTCCATCGCAAAACCATCGCAAACAAAGAACCCAGGGGCACCCTGGAGGCAAGCAGGGCGTCTCTTGGCATGGCTCCCCCCTGGTCTTATGATGTTCCAACCTACTTTAACCTCGATCACCAGAAATAATTTCGAGCACCAACAAGGTACCGAAACTCACGGGTTGTCACGTGTCGGGCCCTGGGAGACACTCGCCCGACACTGTTTCGACACTGTCTCGACACTTTGCCAGGTGCTCGGAATTATTTCTGGGATGTGGTCCTTAAGTACGATGGGAGCATGCAACATAACCCTGGTCCTCACCCCCCTCTCTGCCGCCCCCGACCCCCCTCCCCCGCTCGCGGAGACGCGTGCACGGCCGGGGCTTGCCAGGGCCACCGCCCGCTGGCCGAGCCATGTGCCGGCCCCGGAGCTCCAGCGACTTACTCTGAGGGGTTCAACGATTGGGGAGGGTCTCTGCCCAAGAGATCCGACGCTCCGGCAAGGAGGAGGAGGAGGAGGAGGAGGAGGAGGAGGAGGAGGAGGGGGAGGAGGAGGGGGAGGAGGGGGAGGAGGGGGAGGAGGAGGAGGAGGAGGAGGAGGAGGAGGAGGAGGAGGAGGAGGAGGAGGAGGAGGAGGAAGAGGAGGAGGAAAAGGAGGAGGAGGAGGAGGAGGAGCTGGGGGCCGTTTTCGGCCGCCGAGGGCCCTCGCTGGGCGTCGGGCGCGTCCGAAAACGAAAATCAGGGCGAAGAACCCGCCCCGGGGAAGTGGCCCTGACATCTTAAGGGCCCACGCATCGAACGCATGGGAGCGTCTGGGTGTCTGGGGTGCTCCCGGCAGACATGCTGCACTCTCACTTCTGGCGCACCGCCCCGTGCCCCGAGGGCCGCGAAAGCTTGGCGGCTTCTCTTCGCAGAGCGTCCGCAGTGAGGGTTCGGTGCATCTCCAGACCCCCTGAGCCTGTTTTGCAGCAGACCCCATCACGGGAGAAACACAAAAAACGTCGATCTCGAAAACGGGATAACAGCCCCCCCAGCGTTAACATCGAAGAGGGGCACCGATAAGGGTGGACTGGCATAAGGGGGGAAACCTAGGCCTGGAATGTGCGATACATCGCCGATAGATCGGCGATAGGCCCCGACAGCGAAGTCGCACCCTTCTGGGCGGGCTAGGGGTATCAGAATCCGATCGGCGATCCATGGGCGATTGGGGGTCGATGCGTCCCCCCCCTATGCCCATCCCCTCCTATCATTGCCACCGAGGCTCGCGCCGTGGAAAATTAATGGCGGGAGATGTTTATCCATGTTCGGCCTCTGGAAGCCCTCGCTGGGCCCCAGGACCGTGAAAAACTAATAATGAACAACTGGCCCTGGGGAAAGGGTCGGAAATTTCGCGGGGGCCGCAAATTAAAAAATAAAGACGCCGCATTTCTGGACCAATTGTTCGGCCCCTGGGGGCCCGCTTAGAGAGCCGAAGAGCCAACAGCATATCCACCTCGACGAGGGAAGCCCCCTAATAACGCGCCAAAGGAAGGGATCGAGCAGGGCAAGGCTGATTGGTAAACGCTCAGGGCTGCTTGACCGCTGCTGGTTCCTGGGACAGTCAAAAACTCTTCGGGGGCGAGCGACTACCCTGGGTGGCGACATCCGAACCCAACCCCTCCCAGCCATCGACTCTCCTGCATCGACGGGAGGCGAGGGCAGGAGTCTGATTTCGCCACGTGCTCGACGAATTCCGACCCCTGTCCCCGCCGTCCATCGAGTTGCCTGAATCGTGGATCGGCGAGGGTCGGGTTCGCATCTCGCCACCGAGAAGGACGCCCAAGCGACGGGGTCGGGACCTCCTGGGCCGCGCGCTACAAGGAGTGCCATGTCGCCGGGTGCCTCATGGCCCCGAACCATGACTGCCCACACCCTGGCCGGCGGAGGGCGGACAGACGGGGATCGATCGGCTCTGTGTGGCCGCCAAGCCCGGGGTCGGCTGATGGACCCCGTGGTGACGCGCTGGCACGCCTTGCCTGCCCTTCATCCCCAGACCCCCCGTGTGCTGCAACATGCAATACGGAGGTCTTTGATAGCTTTTCGTAGCTTGCGGCCTCTGGGTGCAGTTGCCACCCCTGGCGTTGCCACACCCCTGGGACCGTCAGAATGTAAAATCAGTCCCCGGGAACGGGTCGGGAACCTGGACCCCTGTAGATATGGAAGAAATCAATACATTATGTTGCTCCCATCGTACTCAGGGACCACATCCCAGAACTAATCTCGAGCACCTGGAAAAGCGTCGCAAGAGTGTCGAAGCAGTGTCGAAGCACTGCCGGGCGAATGCCTCTCAGGGCCCGACACGTGCAAACCCTCGAGTGTCGGTACTTTTTGTTTCTGGTGCTCGAGATTCTTGCTGGTGGTCAAGGCAGAAGTAAGTGGGAGCATCGTAATCAATACAGTCGGGGCGTTGACCTAAGGAACCCTAAATAAGGAACGGGGCCCCTTTCGCCCAGAAGTTGAACTTCGACTTCCAATGGAAAACCTCAGGAAAGCAGAAGGCAAACTGTCGAACAATCAAGGAACACCGAGCCCCTCCCCAACGAGAAGGGTTCCTTCTCCAGGGCCCCGGCTGTACATCGGATCTCTGGGTCTGGCTTCCAGGCCACCGCTCGGGCCTCGAGCGGCCGCCCGGCACGACCCCAGAGAGCGCCAGCGACGAGGCACGGAGTGCCGTGCCACTGCGCGCGCGGGCTGCAGCAGAGCGGTGGGGGCAGCTGGGCCTGTGGGCGAGCGGGAGCCCCAAAATGCGCCGCAGCGGAGACAGAGATGGCAATGCGCCTCGGAGCAGACTGTGCCGAACCGTCCGGGGAGTCGCCCTGCGCAGCCCGGTCGCGCCGAACCAGTCCCAGACATGCGGCGCCGTGATGTTTTCAATGCGCGGGCCCTGGAGGTCACGATCCCTTTCCCCCTGGCCAATTTCTCATCACGGGCCGTTTCTTGGCGGCCCCGGGGCCCGGGGAGGCCCCCTGAGGCCGAAAAGGCCAAAGGCGTTCCGTCGTGCTTGTCTTCACGACGCCCCTCTCGGACGCCAGCTGGCTTTTTGGCCACGACTCTTGAGCAGGGACCGACCGTCCCAGCAATGCTATAGTCATACCACGAAATGCTCTTAGAACCCAAAAATGTTCTAAGAACAAAAACAATGTTCTTAGAACATGTTGTGCAACATGTTCTAGAACAGTTCTTAGACAGTTCTTACACAGTCCCAGCCAGAAATGTTCCAGGAACACTTCGTGGACACCACAGAAAGGCTCTCAGAACATTTCCTGCTGGGGCTATAGGCCGGTCAGGACGCGTCGCCACTGCTTGACTCTCGGCTCTCCCGCGGCCCTTCGGGACGACCGGGGCACCCCGCGGAACGCCCTCGGCGAGGGCGCGGCCGCGCGGCCGCGCGCCCGAGGGCTGGAGCACACCGAGCCCAATGGCGCGGCACGCGCGCGCCTCTCCGGCCCGCACGCCCGTGCGGTGCGGTGGCTACCCGGTGGACCTGGCGGTGGGCGCTCGCCGCGGGTGCCCCCATCCCAGCCTTAAGTCGGGCGCGTCCCCCTGCAGGGGGATTCTCGACGAGCAGTGAAAAATACCCCCTAGAATGCCCCAAGAAGGGGAACAGATATTCAAAATCTAGTCCCCTGACTATTTTGGGACGATCTTTTTGACTATTTTTTGGTCTTTTGGTTTTTCGTCGAAAACCCCCCTTTAGGGGGAGAGGCCCGATTTAAGGCTACCCGGTGGACCTGGCGATGGGCGCTCGCCGCGGGCGCCCCCATCCCAGCCGATCCCTGTGGAGGCGGAGAAGCAGAACGCGGTGACGGCGGGGTCCAGCGTCATTCTCCCGACCTTGGCATGCGAGAGCCCGCTTATGGCTCGAGATGCGCCCATGACCGGCTGCCCCCCCCCTCCCCCCGCCCCAGGTCACGAGACGATTGGCTCGAACCATGACGTGACTGGCCTCCTCCCCCCCCTGCCATGGCTCGGACGCCCATTTCCCGTATAACTTTCGACTCCGTGCGTCTACTTTTCGAAAACAATCCGAGACGCTCCACAAAGTTAGGAGGCAACTGCTGGGAGGTTTTCGTCGGAAAGATTAAGGAGGATTAAGCCCCATTTGGGAGCTGTTACGCCGGAATGGGCCTCGGATTAAGCGGGATTAAGCTGGATTAAACGGGATTAAGCGGGATTAAGCGGGATTTAGCTGGATTAAACCGAATTTCGGACCAGGGCGAAAACAGAATTTGACCTCCCAGGAGTTGCATCTGAAACAAAGGACCTCGCCGAAGAAAAAAGACACGCGTCCGAGCGATGCCGAGCCCTCCGCCACCTCCGGCCACGCCCGTCAATGATCGAGCGAACGAACGCCGGAGCCGTGCGTGCTCCTCTGGGGAGCCCGCCCGTGCCCATTTTAAGGCATGGCGTGGAGGCCGTGGCCTCGACGGGAAAATCCTCGACTCAAACTTGTGAAACGTCTGCCCGCTCCTCCTCCTCCTCCTCCTCCTCCTCCTCCTCCTCCTCCTCCTCCTCCCCGCTCATACATCCGATCCGCGGGGCACCGCCCGTGAAGCATCGTACATACTATCCACGGCACTGTGAACCTGCTGACCACAGCTATGACTCTACGAGGGCCAAGGGGGTCTACCGCGGGCCCGGCCAACTCCCGCATCTCCTCCCACAACATACGGCACGCCCCAGGCCGAAGAGAGCGCTACATGTGTCCGCTCACCTGAGCGGCGCGCCGCTTCCGACATTTCGGGCTCAACAGGACAATCTTTCGGCCTGCGTAAGTTCGGGGTTGGACAGAACCCTTTTAGTAAAACGTGGTTGAGTGAAAACGACCTCGGGCCCAAACCTGGCGGGCGCAAGCCTGGAAAATGACGGCCGCGGCGCCCTCTCGAGAACCGAAAACGGACAATTCACTAATCGACGTGTCAGGGAGGGAGGTCTGTCCGCCAAGGCTAAGTATGATGACCACCCCTCTGTGCACACCACGGCCGGGGTCCGTCGCAAGTCACGCCCGTCAACACCGCCAGGGGGAAAAAAGCCTCTTGGGAGGCGGCTCCTGGGAGAACGTCCGCGGGATAGCAGCTCGGGGCTACGAGCACCCGAAGAGGGGGCCATTCAACGGGATCAACGGCCATATAGAACCTGGGCTTGAGTCCGATCCTCCTCCGGTCCTCCTCCCCAGGGGGGCGGGTCCCAGGGGGGAGTCCTTTCCTTCCTCCTTCTTCTCCTCCTCCTTGTCTCCGCCTCCTCCTCCTCCTCCTCCTCCTCCTTCTACTCCTCCTCCCCCTCCTGGTCGTCGTCGATGTCTTTAGGGGTCGGCGGCACTGGCCGTTTGGCCTTCACAATAAAACCCGGGATTGAGCCCGATTGCAGTAGGAGCTCGACCACAAGAAACCTTCGACAAGAAACCCAACCCCAGAACCCCAGGACGTGCACTGATTTTTGTTGGTGTGGGAACGTCACGCTTTCCACAGCACAAACATCGAAACCCAGAGCACCCTGGAGGCAAGCAGGGTGCTTCTTGGCATGGGTGCCCACTGTATAGGTGCGCCCCCGGGTTTTCGCGTAGTCTTAGAGCCGCCGTGGCCCCTTGGCCCCGGGCCTCGTGAAGGGTGCTCTGGAGATGGAGGCCACCTCGGACTCCCTGGAAAAACTGGAGTCCCACCCATTTGGGCGGTGGCACAGTTTTCGGCGTAACCGAAGGAACGATAAATAAGGAACGAAGCCCCTTTTTTCCGAGTAAGTCTGGGAAGTCCGAAGGAACAGCTGAGGGGCTCGCCGCCGAGAAGGTTGCAGAACGCATGCAAACTTGAGGAACGACCGAGCCCATTTTGAAAAATACATGTTCCTTATTCAAGCCGGACCCTGTACATCTGGCAACAACCGAGCGGAGGACCACGCAAGATCGCTTACCCACACCACAGAACTCCACACTCACTCGCGATCGTTGCTCCCATGCAGATCGTGGACTTACGCCGCCAAGGAAGCCCCTGCTAGTCGTCGCTCTAAAGATCCCTCATCTCCTCTTCAGTCTCCTCCTCAAAATCGGGTACAAGATCGGGATAAATCGCTCCAGAGCGCTCCGGAACGCTCTCTGAACGTTTCGGCACGCTCTGAGAAAGCCGCGGCGCCCGATACATCCCTCAAAAGCACTAGATCTCAGAGATTTCCGGCATCTCCCGGTACGACTTTGCCCGGACCCTTCTTTCGTGTACTCCTCCTCCTCCTCCTCCTTCTCCTCCTCCTCCTCCTCCTCCTCTTTCTGTCCCAAGTATGCGATGTCTTGTTTTTCAAAACGCGGCCCCCGGAAGTTCCAAACCTTTTCCCTGAGGCGGGCCTGTCACCTCGAGTCGATCTCGAGGTCCCGCGGCCCGACGAGGGCCCCCAGAGGCCGAAAACCACGAGAACTGGCCGCCCTGCTTATGTCAAGACGCTGCACGTCTGGGATCCGACTCCCAGTGTGAAAGCGAGAGGGAGAGAGAGAGAGAGAGAGAGAGAGAGAAAAAAAGAGAGAGAGAGAGAGAGGTAGACAGAGAACAGAAACGAAAACAGGGGGGAGGAGCGAAGCGGCCACGAGGACGCTTGGCCCGCGGCGTGGGCGCCGGATCCCTCGGGAGTCCTGCGGCGCGGGAGGCACGCGCGGGAAAGAGAGAGAGGGAGAGAGGGATCGAGAACGCGAGATCGAGAGAAAGAGAGACCTCGCTGTGGGACGCTGCTCATGACGAACCAACAACACACACCCATACCCATAGAGGGGTCGGAGAGTGCTATGGGTGCGTGTTGTCGGATGGGGGTCCCCGCTCGAACGGGAGCGTTCCCCAGGGTCCGACGACCCGCACCCATACCCATAGCCAGTCCTCCTCCCAACGACCCCCCTATGGGTATGGGTGTGTGTTGCGCGTTCGTCAGCTCAGGCGAGCTTCCGCAGAGATTTGACAGGCAGGAAAGCGACGGATAAATCGGCGGTGGACAGACCTCCATTCAGTAAACCACCTTTTGGTGAAGAAGGCCTGGGACAGAAACCGACGGACCTGGACCCGCAAAAATGACGGCCCGGACGCCCTCTCGCGAGCCGAAAACGGCCAATTCGCTCATCGACGCGTCAGGGTAGGAGGTCTGCCCACCTCCGAGTAAACAGATCACCAGGGACCACGTAGCCCAGCGAGAGAAGGAAGAAGGGAGAAGAAGAAGAGTTGAGAGAGAATATGATGCGAAGGCTTCGGGCTGCGCGCAGACCGCCACCCCCCAGGTGGTCCCAGCCAGCCTCTGCATAAGCTTATGTCGGGCATGTCCCCCTACAGGCCGATCTTGGACGAACAAACAAATACCTCCAACAAGTGCCCAACTAATTATCAAGAGTACTAAAAAAACGTCACATTTATTTGCGACAATGTTTTAAATTTTCCTCCTGCAGAGGGATAGGCCCGACTTAAGCATAGGGGAACGAAGAATGACATAAATACAAAAACTCTGAGGTCCGCGCGGATTTCTCGGATCCGCGCTGGACCCACCTCCCTGGCGCGCGGAGCGCGCACAGCGCGATCCGAGAAATCCGCGCGGACCTCAGGAAATTTTATGTTTGAGTCATTCCTCGTCGGATATGGGCGAACCTCCCTTTTTTAGTAAACCACCTCTTAGTGAAGACGGCCTGGGACCGACACCGACGGACCTGGACCCGCAAAAGCGACGGCCCCGACGCCCTCTCGCGAACCGAAGGCGGCCAACTCGCCAGTCGACGCGTCCGGGTAGGAGGTCTGCCCACCTCCGACTTCGTTCCCCTACTGAAGTCGGGCGTTGGTAGAACTGGGTTTAGTGGAACCTGGTTAAGTGATCTGAACCGGGGGCGCCCCCCCGTCCCATTTCCACTAACCAGAGCCGCCGTCACCCGAAAGAACACCAGCTATGGCAAACCTGGTTGAGTGATTCTGACCAATTCAAAGGCTCCGGGGCCCTTACCGGATCCCCTTACCTGGGGTCCTGGCCATCCCCGATGAAGGCCCACTGCAACGGGGCGGTCTCAGCGCCTGGGCGCCTCCTCCGGCGGGGGCCACGGCGGCGCTCCCGGGGGCGCTCTGCGCCCCGCTGCACGCGGGGTGCTGAGACCGGCCCCGGGCTGCTCGGGGCACCCGGTGCGCAGCCCGACCCCCTGGCCACGGGGGCTCGCAGAGCATGGCCCGTGGCACGTGCGCGGAGAAGGGGGGGGGGGCTCAGGGGCCAGGGGGTCGTGTTGAGCGGAGAAGAAGAATCGGCAGCGACACGCTAGGAGAGCGGCAAGGAGATTCCTCAGCAGCATCAGGATGACAGAACTTGAGCAACAAAAACAAGGGGCCATGAAACCGGGAGGGAGGGGGGGTGGCCCGTCTCATAGGAAGGCTTCCCCCCCTCGTGCAGCCGCCCGTGTCATCTGCGGCCATCACCCGTCGAAGGAGGACATGAGTATGAGCAGGAGGGGATGGTGATGAGTATGATGAACATCGCGATGTTGATGGTGAGTGAGGAATGCTTCAACGGCAACGACGACGATGAGGATGATGATGGTGATCGTGATGGTAAGTATGAGGATGCTGATGATGAGGCTGCTGCTGATGATGATGCTGACGTTGATAATGACAGTGATACTGCTACAGATCATGACACTGATAACAATATTCATAATGCTACTGATATTGATAACGATAATAATGATAATGTTGGTGCTGCTGCTGCTAATGATGATGCGAATTATGATGATGGTGATGATTATGATGATGAGGGTGCTGATGCTGCTGCTGCTGATGATGATGATGATGCGGATGAGATGATGATGATGCGGATGCTGCTGCTGCTGACGACGACGACGACGATGACGACGACGATCGA